CTCTCTCTCTCTCTCTCTCTCTCTCTCTCTCTCTCTCTCTCTCTCTCTCTCTCTCTCTCTCTGACACGCATACATATGCAATAATGCGCGTGTAATACAGCGTGATATTAGCGCTCCGGTCATAAATTATGCAATTTAACATAATACGAGGTAGTATTTCCGACGCAGGAAATTTTTACACTCTCATAAAAAACGCGATGACCGGGTTTTCTGACTTCAATATTTCATTATTACGGGCCGTCATTGTTACCGCGGCATGAACAACGGCGCACGATAATAATTTTATAATGATATCGACAGCGGCAGAAATCGTAGCTTTTGTTTGTCGACACGCGGCGGAAGGATATCGGCAGAAAATAGTAACACGTCTCTTTCGTCACTGTCAACGCGATTATCGACAGTAACGGGTTATGTTGTCCACCCGTATACGAAGATGGACATTTGTTTAATGTTTCAATTACGAGTGGCTTGACAAATTCGAGCCACCGGTACGAAATCCAATATCCCGCATATTTGTATACGCGCAAAGAGAGAGAGAAAAAGAGAAAGAGAGAGAGAGAGAGAAGAGAAGGGAAAGGAGAAAGGAGAATTTCTCGATTTATCGCGAAATATCCAGACAGTCGTTTTTACTGAAATGTCAGAGTGAAAAGCGCAACAATTAATACGCTATTTTCCATAATTTTAGATCTTCAGAACGTAAAAAAAACGTCGTCAGACTAATCGATATGGCCCCTGCAAATAAAAAAAGAAAGCCAAGCCTCAATTAAAACCATCTCGAACCGAAAGTACCTCAGGGCATTTATTGAATTTTATGTCTTGCAGAGTTATTTCCATATAAAGGTGCAAGTATTATTGTTAACCTATCGACAATTCAATTTGATTTGCGGTGACCGACTCGACGAGCGAATTATAGCCTTGATAGGTCTATTCTTCGATCATTGACGTGGGAGCGTTTTTAAACCGGGCCCGGCCAACCCGACATTATTTTTTTGCGGTCCACTGGGAATTTTTTTATATCGTCCATTACAGACATAGTGATTCAATGATTTCCCTCCCGATGTGTGTAGTTGGTGGTATAAAAAGTTATCTGCTGGACCACGGCACGGCCAGGCCTAGTTTCGACACTTCGACCTGCAAAAACCGGCCGAATCGATCGGCCTGATCTAAAATAACGATTCTCGAGTCGACAAAAAAGAAGGTTGCCACTTCAACCTCGCGAAGATGGAAGTCGCGTGACGGAAGTCTCGATGAGGAATAACGACCAAAATCGAACCATCGATGCGTGCACCACACTCGGCCGCCGGTGACGGGGCTCAAAGCGGGAGTGCTGGCTTCTGGCGGTGGTTGTGACGCGTACGGCGATTTTCGATTCGCCGGCATTTTCGTTCGAGACAAAAGGGGCTGGTAGTAGTAGCTACCCCGTGCGGCACACCTCATCGATCGTTGCGCGCAACGGCCGTTATCAATTTTCCCGAGAAGGCCCGGCGAATTGGCGATCGCGATCGCGCGATTCACGGAGTCGCGAATAGCCGGGGGACGACGTGTGCGTAAGCGAGCGGCTGCGGCGGGCCGCACACGCTCGATCCGACCTGTGCGTCCCGGCCCAATCAAATTCCAACAATTACCAGTCCGCAGTCCGGGCTGGTTTACCTCCTCGGGGCGAAAACCGGCTCGTTTTACAGTCGAACGGGGCGCGCGCGGTCCCCCTCTGCCGTCTGCGCCGCCGCCGCCGCCGCCGCCGCTGTATATGCCGCCGTAAACCCAAATTGCATTATTAAAATCTAATCTACCTTCGACCGAGTACGTGTGCCGCGGCCATCGGAAATCTGATACACCTATCCGACCGAGAGGGACGGGGAGACGCGCATAGGAGGTAATAGTAGACGTAGCGGGAGGCAGATGGATAGAACAGCGGGATGGGGAGGAGCAGGGAGGCAGAGAGAGAGAGAGAGAGAGAGAGAGAGAGAGAGAGCAGAAACAGTGTGAGCTACGCGGTTTAATACAAAGAGGCTGTAGAAGGTGAAGGAAAAAAGACCAGGAGACAGAAAGGGTGTTTTTAACAAAATGGAAAGCAAATCCGCGAATCAGAAAAAATTCGGGGATTGTGCGATTTAATTAGATTCGACTGATATCGCGACGATGAAAATATGAAGATGTATCGAGGATGGGAAAGCGGGGTGAGCTAATTTAAGGAATCGCGATCGTTGCTTAAGTAAGCAGACGCGTCGATAAATAATCGAAACTTCCTGATGTTATTCTAATTGCGAGCGTGCTTGAAAATTTAATGCTTCCTTTCGGATATATTCATCGATTACGTAGGTGTTTCCGGAGCAGGAAATCCGTTCAGCGTTATTCGATATAAAAAGAACAAGAAC